CTCGAGTGGGCCAATTGTTGTAATAAGCGTGCGTGTGTGTGATGCATGTCTTCCAATCCCCATTTCTTTCTCCCTTTTACTTAACCGCTTACGATGGTTAGTTTTAGGACATATTTCATTTAGCATACCTTATGCTTGCATGCGTGCATCCATTCATCTGTATTGCATGCACCGGGCTTGGTGCATCGTACTAACTGCATCGTATTTCAATACCTATATGTACCAAGTTTCATTTCATATGACATTCTTAGGATAGCTGAGCCTATCTTAATTGTATTTTTGCATGTGTTGCATTAGCCATTTTAACATGAACTAGGATCATGCATTGATTTCTAGCTAGTTCTTTGTTTTAGCTCGGAGTACACTGTGAGTGTTTACGCTTTAGCATACTGCATCTGTGTTAATGTTGCCATGAAAGCATGCTTTCCATGAGGCTAACTGCTTATGTGCTATAACTTCCTGAATGCTTGTGGGTGAAGGTTAGATTAGTTGAATTGGGACAATTCATTAAAATCCGCATTTTAGCCTACTTACGAGTAGCAAACTTCAAACCATTTTCCAAACAAACGGATATGTGATGCTTGGTTCCAAATTAGGCGATCTAGTCTATACTTGTTTTGCTGTGCACATCACATAGTAATTGTAGCTAATTAACCGGAATAAGAGCACATGTGTTTTCAAAAACAAGATATCATGCTTAGAACAGGCCGATCTTTGATTGGGCGAGCGGGAGTGCTCATAGATGCCCTTCCCCAATCGTACCCAAGTTCTCGAGCCGAGGCAACTTTGGTGATGACGGATATGTGGCCTTAGGCATGAGTAAGGGTTTCCTAAATTCCCCCCAAAATAAAATATTTAGGTGGCGACTCTGTATCTGGCAAAGCAGTCCATGATTGACACTTCTTTACAAAAATCAGTTTTCCAAAATGATTTGTCAGATTTGGACTCTTTGGTGATTTATCAATCTCACATCGCACATTGTGAGATTAGATTAAGAACCGTGACATTTGAGTCTGAACTGTAGCATTGAAGCCCAAGGGCGCGTCTACAGTTTCTGGTGACTCTGCTGGGGACTTAGAGAACTTGACTCGAACTCATGATATCGTGTTTTGTTCACACTTATGTGTTTCGTTGCATTGCATTTGCATTGATGCGCCTAGGACACCGTGTTTGCCATATGCTATTCTTGAACGGTTTGCCGGAGGCTCGCTTTGAGAAGTGTGCCATAAGGCTGACCGGTTGCGGGCTCTGCCACGACGGGAACATAAACCTCAGTTTTTACCGGGGCACCCTTTTTGACCATTCGACCTAGTGCATATTCGGAATCCATAGTGACTATTCGAAACTAGGACAGGTTGCTTACCCGATTATAGGTTGTTTGAAACCGCTGTGTGCGTAGTGAAACCCTAGCTCCTGACAAAATAGGACAGGGAATCCTTACCCCAACAAAGGGGTGTTTTGGCTCTCATTTGCTTGCTATGTGCTATCAGAGTGTGTCTCTACAGGGTTGCACGTATCAGTTTGCAAGTCTAGGTACACTATTAGAAATATGACTTTTTGCGTCTATTTTTTTGCAATTGATTATTTAACGGTCGCAAAAAATCATTTTTAGACATCAAACATCTCATTTTCCTGACCCAATCGTGTTCTTAAAAAAATGAAAATAAATTAAAATCGGTAAAACTTGACTCTCTTTCTCTCCCTCTCAATCCCTGCCTTTTTCTTTTCTTATTTCCCAAATCTGGGCTGTTTCTTTCTCTCCCTCTCAAAATCTGTCTCTCGCTCGACTCTCACTCGATTCTCACTGCCTCTCTCGCTCGAATTTGTCGCTCGAATCTCTCGCTCAAATCTGTCGATCGATTCAACTTTCTCAAGTCCACTACTGTTGAAGATTTCATAATCGGTAAGCCTAAACACATCTTCATCGATTCAACTTTCTCTGTAATGATCCGAGAAATCAAGTGTGCTCTGAATTGCTCTCTCTCTCTCTTGTCTCAATTTCTTTGTGAGATCAGAGAAATCTCTTCGAAGCATTCTCTTCTTGTTCATCTTCACCCCTTTTTCATTAACTTGTTGCTTATCCACTAATCTCACTGCAATCTTCTCGATCGATCAGGTTGTTGTACAGAAAGTGAAGGAATCGGAGATAACCGAGCAGGACTCACTTCTACTGGTACAGTTCAGCTTTTGATTTCATTTACAAATGATCATAGCAACCTATATATAAATTTCACTATCTACTTATCTTCATTTTTGTGGATCAAATTCTGAAATTATAATTTGAACTTACGGTTTGCTCATATTCAGAATTAGATCATTGCTTTGAATACGTCATAGTATGCTAAATCTGGATTCTGTTTTGTTCAGTAATTTATCAATGAATTTTACTGTAACTCAAATCCGAATTATGATCTAGAGAGTTTGAATTTGAAATGATTTTTTTCTACATTTAGAATTAATTTCTCTAGCGTTGCAACCTAGATTTGAATTTCATTGTCTGCTTGTATTCATTGTTTGTGGATCAAATTCTGGAATTCTAATTTGAATTTATGGTTTTCTCACATTCAGAATCAGATCATTGCCTCAACATTGTTCAGTAGTTTTTTGTTGTTGAAAAATTTGTGATCTGCAGAGGTCAGATCTGTCCCCATTTGTGCTTTTTTTTTTTTTACTAAAAAAAATTCAACTGATATACAAGTATATACAAAAAATCTATTTTTTTACAACTGATATTTAAAAAAATTCAAGACTCTGTCAATTGATTTTTCATATTTCCCATATCATTACACTGCTACCTATACCAATTCACCTCCTGATACTGCTAATTAAAATCTTGCTGATCACACCAAACTAGCTTAATTAATGGGTTGGTTTATCACTGAAGCCAGAGCATGCTGATCCTAATGAATCAAATAAAAAAAATTGAATTTGTGACCTATCTCCTGCCTAGCTCTCAACTGATGCATAGCCATTATGTTCTTTTTGTGTGTATAGTTTTTCAAGGTACCAAACTAGTTAGCAACATGATAGATCAACATGCTCTTGTTATGTATTAAAACAAGCTACTGTCACGGATCTCTTGCGATGAATCTAAATAATAAAGTCATTTTAGAATATGTGATTTTTTTAAAAGAATGTAGTATTTTGATGTCATTTTTTACTAGAGTTTTTTACTTGAGCCGTTGGATACAGCAATGTTAAGTACCTATGAAATTTGCCTAGAAAAATACCCAGAATTTGCAATCTAAAAATAAGATTCATTTGTTTCTGCCCCCACAACAACTTCAAATCTATACTGTAGATTTCAAATTTGAGGCAATTTTTGGGGTAGATAGCATTTTTGGCGTTGGATTATGTATTCTGCTTGCTTGTTTTACTGTGATAAAAAAGCACAGTAACATCATTACAGAAAAATGATGACAGAAGATCCTTTATCTTGAGAGAGAGAGAGAGAAAGAGAGAGAGAGAGAGAGAGAGAAAATGAGTTTGACAATCTAAAAACATTGTGATTACAATCAAATTGAATGATGGAAATGATGATCAAAGATGGGTTATGCTTTGCAAGTTAGAGATATAAGCAAAAGTAGTAGTTGAGTTACCTCAATAGTGGCCATTGGAAATCCAAATGAAAGCAGAGAGAGAGAGAGAGAGAGAGAGAGAATCTGAAAGCAAGAATAGAAGAGTAGAGGCTGTGAGTGAGCTTTGATCCAATGTGAGAGCTATATATAGGTCTACAATAGAGGAGGAATTTTTTCTACATAATGAGGATGTTTGGTTGTGGGATGGTATACTCTTGTTTTGATTTTGAAGAATTTGTAAACTAATATTGACTGAAATAATATATTAAAACATAAGTGATTACTTTCCAATAAAAACTGGAAATACATTTATAGAGCAGCTCCTACTCTCTATTTATTCATGATATGCAATTTTATAAATTTTACTAAAAGTTTTCATGGGCCATTGGTTTTATTTGGTATACTTTTTGAACTATAATATGCACTTGTCATTATGATACTTTGCAAACTCATTCTTTTTATTGATGTGTACAAAAATAGTTAAAGATATAGAAAGATGAACAAGAATTGGATTGATTTACCAAATCGGAAGTCAGTTGATTACGTGAATGGGACTGATAACTTCTTGAGATTTGCATACAATAATAGAGATAAAAGTTCATCGATTAGTTGTCCGTGTCGATTTTGTAGTAATCGATGCAATTTTTCACGAGAGGTTGTAAGGGAGCATCTTATTTCCAATGGGTTCGTAAAAAAGTACAAAAATTGGATTCATTATGGGGAATCCTATGTAGGGCTGAGCAAGGAATCCGTGAAATCCGTAATCCGATCCAATCCAGTAGGTTTGGATTGGTTTTTTGAATCCGTGGTTTGGTTCCGGATTGAAAAATTAAAAATCCGTAGTTCATGGATTGGTTCCGGATTGAATCCCACGGTTCCGGATTAGAACCGATCCGGACCGTATACAAATAGTCTATATTTTTATTATACACCCTCCTGCATAGTATCTTATCTTATTTCATATAAAACTTAAATCCAAGCCTAAACTTGCATAGTATCTTTTTTTATTATTTTTGTTTGCTAGTTTTTGGTATTAATTTGTAATGGTCTAAATACTTATGGTGGAACTAATTTTCTTATGATTGTTTAAATTCTAAAATAGTTTGTCGCTATTATGAAAAGACATGTTGCTATTGTGAAACTAATATGGTATTATATTTATATTTTTATGAAATTAAAGTCTTGTATATATTTTTTTGTTATTTAATTATGCAAATCCGTGGTCCTAAACCGATCCAATCCGTATTTAAATGGATTGGTTCGGATTGGTTCCATGATTTAAATGGATTGGATTGGTTCCAATTTTTCAGGCTCCGTAGATAACGGATTGGTCTTGATTTTACTCCAATCCGGTCCAATCCGGACCATGCTCACCCCTAATCCTATGTCCAATTACATGGTAACCAAGAAAACCAAACATTAATGGCGGATTCAGTGACTAGAGATGATGTGGCTGGGATGGTACAAGAGGCCCTGGGAATTCCACATATGGGTATTAAAAATTATGAACCAACTGCAAGTGATCCAGACCAAGCAGGGGCAAGTGATCCAAGCCATGTAGAGGAAGATGACCCGGTTCGGATAGGGGCAAATGACGAAACTTTGGAATATTTTAAACTTTTGGATGATGCACAAACTGATCTGTACCCGGGGCGTCACAAATTTACTTCACTATCATTTATTGTTCGAATTTTGCATATGAAGGTGCTCAATCAATGGACTGACAAGTCCGTTGACATGTTACTTGAACTTTTGAATAAGGCTTTTCCTATGGGCATGAAACTTCCAAGTTCATATTATCAAGCTCAGAAGGTTACTACAGATTTGGGTTTCACATATGAGACTTTTGATGCTTGCCCCAATAGTTGTATGTTGTTCAGAAAAGAGGATACAAAGCTTGATAAATGTGTTATATGCAGTAGTTCTAGATGGAAACAAAATGGTGGTGTTGGAAATGATGAAAGGGAATCTGGTAAACGGGTAGCAGCAAAACAGATGAGGTATTTCCCTTTGAAGCCAAGGTTGCAGAGATTGTTTATGTCATCGAAAACGGCAAAGCTCATGAGATGGCATGCGGAAGAACGAGTTGATGATGGTGTGTTAAGGCATCCTGCTGACTCCCTCGCATGGAAGGACTTTGATCGGCGAAACACTTGTTTTGCTAGTAATAGTCGTAATGTACGTCTTGGGTTAGCTACAGATGGATTCAACCCATTTAGATCAATGAACATAGTTCATAGCACTTGGCCAATTGTGTTGATTCCGTATAATTTACCACCATGGATGTGCATGAAACAACCAAATCTGATTTTGTCTGTGCTGATTGATGGGCCAAAAGGACCTGGCGATAAGACTGATGTGTATGTGCAACCATTGATTGAAGAGTTGAAGGAATTATGGGATGAAGGTGAACAAACATTTGATGCATCAACCAATGAAATGTTTCAATTGCATGCAGCTTTGTTATGGACAATCAGTGACTTTCCTGCCTATGCCAACTTATCAGGATGGAGTACGAAAGGTGAATATGCTTGTCCTCGCTGCAATGTGAAAACTCAATCATATTGGTTGAAGCATGGTAGGAAGTATTCATACATGAGTCATCGTCGTTTCTTACCAGTTAATCATAAATTTCGAAAGGATAAAGTATCATTTGATGGTAGTCGAGAATGGAGACTAAAACCTCAAATTTTATCTGGATCTGAGACGTTGCATCAGTTGGAATCAGAAGGTGTCCTTAGTCAGTACAAGAGGAATGACCTGAAGGAAATGTTCAGGAGACAAGAAGAGAGGGAAAATAACGGAAGAAAAGGCCATAATTGGAAGAAAAAAAGTATATTCTATGAATTGTCGTATTGGGAGCACAACTTAATAAGACACAATCTCGATGTGATGCACATAGAGAAAAATGTCTGCGATAATATATTGTGGACAATACTAGGAGTTGGAGGAAAATCCAAAGATAATGTGAATGCTCGACGTGATTTACAAGAAATGAATATCAGAAAACCATTGCACTTGCAGTCAAGAGGGTTCAATAAAGTTTATGTACCTCCTGCACAATTCACAATGATCAATGATGAGAAAGATATGTTTCTCAAAATACTCAAGGAAGTATGAGTACCAGACGGTTATGCATCCAATATCTCGCGACATGTGCACTTACAAGATAGAAGTATTTGGGGTCTTAAGAGCCATGATAGTCATATTTTGATGCAACAACTTATTCCTTTAGCTATACGGAGGTCCTTGCCTAAGAATCCATGATATACTAGTATAGGTCAATTCCACTGAAAAA